GGCGCGCCTTCTGCCCTCGAGCGGGCGCGCGTCCTCTGCTCGTGGGGCGAGTCGGATCCGACTGCTGCGGCCGTCGGTTCCACAGTCGAGATCCGCTCTCTCGTCTCGCGGCCCTCGATGAACGGCAAGGTCGGCGTCGTCGTCTCCGCCAACGCTTCGACGGCCCGCTTCGGCGTGCGCGTGGCGGGCGAGGCCAAGGCACTCGCACTGAGGCGCGCACTGAAATGGTCTCTCCCCGACTCGCCGGATCCTCTCTTTGGACACACCCCACGCCTCTGCCCTCCCTCAGGCCGGCCAACTTGCAGCCAGCGGCCGAGGCGGTGGCGGTGGGCAGGCTCATCCTCAAGGCGGCGGAGTGGTCGCCGCAGTCGCACGAGCTCTTCCCGACAGTGGCTCGCAAGCGGGCGGTCGAGGTGATGCGGCTGGGCTACCTGATCGCTTGGGACGAGGAGCGCTTCGACAGCCGCGAGGGAGCGGCTCCAGAGCTGGCGGACATCTGGCGCGGCTTGGTGCTGCCAAGGGTGGTGGTGCGATGACATGATGACTGCTTTGGTCCTGTTTACTTCGTGGCAGCCAACCCCCCAGGATCTCGCCCCTCTTCTCTCTCGCTCTCGCTTCGTGGTGTTGGACTGCATTTGTTTTTTTGTGGCTTCTTCTTTGTAAAACTCGAGTGGAAGTCGGCAGTTTCACATCGCGTCTTCTCTGCCCGATCCCGCTGAGTTGGCTTTTTTCTTCTTCTCTCTCTCACTCGACGGTTTTTCTTCTTTCTGGCGGCATGAGCGACGCCCCCCTCCCAACCCAGCTCGCCGAACTGGCTCGGGGCGACCTGGCCTGGCTGCGTGCCTTCCTGTCTGGGCAGGGGACGCGCGGCACGTCGCTCGCGGCCCTGCTCGACGCGCGGCACGACACCGAGAAGCAGGACACGCTGCTCACCTGGGCCGCTCGGCACGGGCAGGCCGAGGCGGCGCGGCTGCTACTCGAGGGCGGCGCGAGTGTCGGGGCGACGAATGGTGGCGGCGCTTCCGCGCTGTTTGTCGCGTCCTATCAAGGCCACCTCGAGTGCGCCCGGCTGCTCCTCGAGGCTGGCGCGGCGACCGACCAAGCGATGAACGACGGCACCACGCCGCTGAGCGCTGCGAGCTTGGCTGGCGAGATCGGCTGCGTTCGGCTGCTCCTCGAGGCTGGCGCCGCGGTCAACCACGCAGACGCTGAAGGCTTCACGCCGCTGTACGTTGCGTGCCAGGAGGGGCATTTCGAGTGCGCCCAGCTGCTTCTCGAGGCCAGCGCTTCAGTCGACCAGGCCGATGAGCAAGGCATCACGCCGCTGTACATGGCGTGCCAGGAGGGCCACCTCGAGTGCGTTCGGCTGCTCCTCGAGGTTGGCGCCGCGGTCAACCAAGCCCAGCAGAACGGCGCCACGCCTCTGTACATCGCGTGCTACAAGGGCCAGCTCGAGTGCGCCCGGCTGCTTGTCGAGGCCCGCGCAGCCATCGACCAAGCCAAGCAGAACGGCGCCACGCCGATGTTCATCGCGTGCGAGATGGGGCAGCTTGAGTGCGTCCGGCTGCTCCTCGAGGCTGGCGCGGCGATCGAGCAACCCATGGACGACGGCACCACGCCGCTGTACATGGCGTGCCAGAAGGGCCACCTCGAGATCGCCCGGCTGCTCCGCGAGGCTGGCGCGGCGACCGACCAAGCGATGAACGATGGCACCACGCCGCTGAGCGCTGCGAGCTTGGCTGGCGAGATCGGCTGCGTTCGGCTGCTCCTCGAGGCTGGCGCCGCGGTCAACCAAGCAGACGCTGAAGGCTGCACGCCGCTGTACGTTGCGTGCCAGGAGGGGCATTTCGAGTGCGCCCAGCTGCTGCGCGACGCTGGCGCGGCGGCCAACCAAGCCTGCAACGACGGCACCACGCCGCTGTACATGGCGTGCCAGGAGGGCCAGCTCGAGAGCGCCCGGCTGCTCCTCGAGGTTGGCGCGGCGGTCAACCAAGCCCGGCAGAACGGCGCCACGCCGCTGTTCATGGCGTGCCAGGAGGGCCAGCTTGAGTGCGTGCAGCTGCTCCTCGAGGCTGGCGCAGCGATCGACCAAGCCTGCAACGACGGCGCCACGCCGCTGTTCATCGCGAGCCAGCAGGGCCGGCTCGAGGTCGCCAAGCTCCTCTCCTCCTACGGCGCCTCCCGCGCCGCTACGCCCTTCGGCACGCCCGAGGAGATTGCAACCGAAGAAGGCCACGCCGACCTCACCGCCTGGCTGGTCGCCAGCCGCGGCTGGACGCCGCTCCAGCATCTCGAGGCGTGCCCGAGACTAGCGGCCGAAGGCGTGAGCGCGCTGTCTTCACGCCCATTGCCCCTCTTCCGCAGGCGCTCACCGTCGAGCGGGCGCGGGCGCTGCTGCGCGGCGGCGCCGACCCGCTCGCCGGCGCGCCTTCTGCCTTCGAGCGGGCGCGCGTCCTTTGCTCGTGGAGCGAGTCGGATCCGACCGCTGCGGCAGTCGGTTCCACAGTCGAGATCCGCTCTCTCGTCTCGCGGCCCTCGATGAACGGCAAGGTCGGCGTCGTCGTCTCCGCCAACGCTTCGACCGCCCGCTTCGGCGTGCGCGTGGCGGGCGAGGCCAAGGCACTCGCACTGAGGCGCGCACTGCAATGGTCTCTCCCCGACTCGCCGGATCCTCTCTTTGGACACACCCCACGCCTCTGCCCTCCCTTAGGCCGGCCAACCTGCAGCCAGCGGCCGAGGCGGTGGAGGTGGGCAGGCTCATCCTCAAGGCGGCGGAGTGGTCGCCGCAGTCGCACGAGCTCTTCCCGACAGCGGCTCGCAAGCGGGCGGTCGAGGTGATGCGGCTGGGCTACCTGATCGCCTGGGACGAGGAGCGCTTCGACAGCCGCGAGGGAGCGGCTCCAGAGCTGGCGGACATCTGGCGCGGCTTGGTGCTGCCAAGGGTGGTGGTGCGATGACTTCTCGCGGTTCCGCACTATAATCTAATATCTATAAAGCTGTATGCTCTATTAAACCTTCCTTCTTTTTCACCCCTCACCCGGGTGCGGGCCGCCTCGGCGATATCTCATATAGGTTCTCAGCACTCAAGCTCGCGAGCGGCGATAAATATCCGGACAAAATGTGCGCACACAGGACGACCTTGTCGCACACGGAGCAGCGCGGCCGCAAGCGCAACAGGCCAACACCCCGGTGCAGCAGGCGGCGCCGGCGCCGGTGCGCGGTGGACAGGTGGTCGCTGGGCCCGACGGCGCCAAAAGAGAGGTATAGATCGCAGCGCGCACGTATGTCCACTGTCACAGAGTCCAACGATCAGCCGGTCTGCAAAGAGGCCAGGGCTCGGCCATCTCTCGCCGGGCATGGATTTCCCCGCGCCGCCGCCGCTCGGAGTCCGTTCCCCCGCCTCGCGCTGAGCCGCTGAGATGCCCGGCATACATCCTCCCCGTTCAGCTGAGCAGCTTGAGGTTCTCCACGGGCTCATGCGTCTGCTCTCTGCGGTGCGGGTGCGCACGGCGGAGGGTGAAAGGCAAGGGGTCGAGGGGGCGAGGGAGCGAGGGAGGCGAGGACAGAGGAAGCAAAGCGCGTGCGGCGCACCCACAGCCGAGGTTGGTCAGCTTCTCGCTCAGGTTCTTGAGCCCCGCAACCGCCATGTCGTCCTGGTACTCAAAGATCTCGCCTATTCGATTTGCGATGAGGCTGTCGAGAGGCGCCCGACCGCCCCGCTCGCCGGCTTGCGCAACACCGTAGAACTCGGGGCCGTCCGACTGCAGGAAGACCTTGCTCCCGATGCGCCACACATCCTCCACCTCCTCGAGGTTCTCCACGGGCTCGTGCGTCGTCTCCCTGCACGGGCGGCGGTGTGGGACCGTGGCGAGGCTGCGGCGAGGCATGCCTGCGGCAGCGCTGCGTGCGGCGAGGGCGGCATCACCCGCAGCCGGAGTCCGCGAGCTTCTTTGAGAGGCAGTTCAGACCTGCTACAGCCCCGTCATCCTGAAACTCGAACACAACCCCGCGCAGTGCGCCGTTGTCCTTGAATCGGACCGCAGAGCCGACCAGGATCGGCATGAAATTATCAGAGCTTGGATTTCGCTTGCAAGGGTGTAGGTCCTCCATACATCTTGCGCCCCCCCCCAAGGCGCGCGATACACATCTTGCACTCACGGCCCACTCCCCGCGAGATCTTGAACTCATGGCCCACTCCCCGTCCCCCAAGCGCGACAGCAAATGCCCGCCAAAAGAAATCCCAAGGGCGCAGCAAAAAGAATTTTTTTGCCCTCTTGGTTGTCTGTTTTCTTTCTTTCTCTTTTGTGTTATCTTTTTCTTTCTTTTTGCTTGGGGTGCCCGCGCCGCCTAGCTCTGCGGACGGGCCCCTCCACCCTTCACGTACGGATTCATGTAGTCCCCACACTCGCTGTCGTGCGTCGTGGGATCGCTTGTCATGTGAGAGAGTGCGTTGTGTTCTTGTTTGGTATCCGCTTTCTCTCTTTGCTTTAAATCGCGAGGAGGGCGGAGTTGCGCCGAGAGGCGGGAGAAGCCGCGAGAGCAAGGGATCGGCAGGCGGCGGCGTCGTCGCAGAACGAGGCAGAGGAGAGTTACGAGACAGAGGGATGTGGGACAGAAGATGACGACACGTCGAGACGACACGCGCGAGCGACACACAGACACACAATCGGCGAGGGACTGCGAAGAGAGATAGGAAGAGGCAGACGCCCAAGGGTGGGCGACGGCTAGCACCACACTCCTCTCCTTAAAATCCTTCTTTCCCGCCTCCCCCTCTCTCTCTCTCTCCTGGACGGAGGGGAGAGGGGGGGCGGAGTGGTAGGGGGGGGGGGGGGGCCCGGCGGCGAAGCGGTGGGCGATCCAATCAAAAAAAGAAATAAATCGACGACCGGCACGAACCGACATTGGCCTGTACCCTCCTGTATGCTGTATCCCCCTTTCTGGAGGCGCCCATCGAGTCGCCTTCCATCCAGCCGACCCCAGCGCCTTCCATCAGCCATCCCATGTGCGACAACGAGGAGCCCCTTGCCGGCTGCGATCTCACAGAGGTCGCCTCGCAGTACGAGTCCGGCGCTTGCTGCCGCTCGGACGTCGACTTTGGACACGGCTTCGGATGCTTTGTGCCGATCCTGATGATGCTTCTCTTCTCCGTCCTCTCGCGGAACCCGCCCCTGTCGATGGGGACCGCCATATGGATCGGCTGGTGTATCAAGGCGCTACCCATCCACCGCCACATATTCTCACCGCCGCGCCTCATCGCCGGGCCGCCGCCGCTTGAACAGGAGGGCAACGCGTGGGCAGGCTTCCGCGGCTTCTTCGACACGGCGCTCAGCGCCGCCATCGACGGATACTCCGCAATCTTCGTCTTCGTCTTCCTGATGCAAATGATCGTTGGCGCGGGCCACCGCTCCGGCGGCTTCCAGGCGCCGCCGACCGCCTGCCCTCTCCCTCTCCCCGTCCTCCACCCTCGCTGCCGGCCCCGAGCCCGCCGCCGCGCTCTCATAACCCATCCCTCGCCCCGTCTAGGCGCTGGCTGACCTCATGGCCAAGGGCATCAAGGACTCGTTCACCTGCCAGTTCTTCACGTGGCTCTTTGGCTTCGTCATCTTTTTCGACGATTGTGCGCGTCCCCGCCCCGACCGAGCCCCACGACCGCCCACCGCCCATCGCCGCACTCATCGCGCCGCCCGCGTCCTGGCTGCCCCCCCCCCTCCCCTCAGACTCCAACACGCAGGTCGTCGGCGCGTGCATGCTGTCGGTGGCCCAAAAGATGCGCGTCTCCAAGGAACGCTCGCCTTTTCCCTCGCGCGGCGGCCCGCAGCTTTCTTTTTTCTGAACGGCCGCATTTCTTTTCCTTGTGTAGGAGAAGCTGGCTTTCACCGTCGACTGCACCGCCTCGCCGGTACACATGAGAAGAAAGAGAAGACACCCAGCAGAGCACAGACCCATGCCCTGCCCGGTCGGGCCGCCTCCACCCGCACTTCCCAAACCCTCTCTCTTCTACCCCGCTCCACATCCACCTGTGTATCACAGACCCCCCCGACTGTCAGGTCGCGTCCCTGCTGCTCGTTTCGACGTGGATCGCCTGTACGCGCCACCCAAACCCGCCCGGACCTCCCGTCCACCACACCTCGCACCCGCCTGACGCGGCCCGACGCCCCGCCTCGGGTCCGAGAGAGGCCACCCCGAGCCACCCCGCTACCC